TGATTCAACGTATTGAAATGGATGTAGCAGACCTTGGCCGCCATGAGGGTGGGTGGGAACGCGACGGAGACGCGTCTGCTGTGGTTCCCCGCATTTAATTTGTAGCGTTGTCGTTTGGCAATCGTAAGAACATGTAACGTGCAATTATATGCTATAAAGACGTTAAAATGATTTGCTTTAACCCGAAGTATTTCCGCTTTTCAAATGGATATTTCGAAAGAGACGTAATTGTGGATAAAATTATTTGTGCATATTATCGAGTGAATAAGATTGGATTTACGAAGGCGTATAATTTCATCTGTAGAAGTACATGCAATTCAATTCCATTTTGTAACCTCCACAGATGACTGAGAAGATACCCAATCAAAAGTGAGCATCCAACTACCTATGAACTAGCCTGAAATTTGTAAATGTTACTCAGCTTTGCAACTTCACCTGAGTAAAATTTTCCAGTTACAAGCCTATCGGCCAAAGTTACCTATATTTTTTTCTGTTGTTTTGTTCCAATAGTATACAGATTATTTTATAGAATTTGGATGTCTTACGCTCTTAGTGACGTCATATTGGTTTGTTTGGAAGAGGCTTTGTGCTTCTGTACGACACTTCCAATTGGGGATTGTACTAGCCATCAACGCTCGTTACTGCCATGGTTTTGAGGTTATGGCAAACTTTAATAAGTGAAAATGGTTGACCTCAATATTTCGTTAACCATTAATTCCGACCTACTAACTGCCTCCAATCGCTTTTGTCAGGCCGTAGATCATTGGCTATTAGGCTATGACACCCAATGCAAGGGCGGAGCAGGACCATTGAGTTCCGTTAGCGGTCGGTGATTGTTCACGAACGAGTGACATTGGCCGCTTCTCAAAGTGGAGAATTTGACTATACGTAACTTTCTAAAAGATGACCATCAAACATACCTTTGAATCTCACCTTGACTACTTTAAATTCAGCATCGAGAATCACTGGAGCCAATTCTAATTAAATTTGTATTGTGTCTTGCCTTAACATGATTTATTAAGAGGTTTGGCAGATTTGCTTAATTTTAGTTGACCCTGTTGTGAAAAAAACTCGAGGCGTTCGGCGGGATTTGAACCCGCGCATCAGAGAAGGCCTTTACCGGCGGCCAGCTTGGACAGTCAGCTTGCTGTTCTGTATTGGTGGATTCCAAATGGGCGGTAAAGTTGGGCGGGTAATATCGACCCAAGTGGGATTAAATTCATGGCGCGAGGCAGGGCGTTTGTAGCTTAGCGGTTAGAGCGTTGGCTTCCGGTAAAGGCCTTCTCTGATACGCGTGTTCAAATCCCGCCGAATGCCTCTAGTTTTTTCACAATTGGGTCAACTCAACTTAACCTGATTTACACTGCTGGCTCCCAACGCTCACAACCCAAGCCAGGGTGATGACTTATCTGAATGAACTAGAGATTGTATCCTATCCCGGTTGACAGCGCATCTTAATCGGATATTTTTTCAATTGAAATGAGGTTTCAAGTTTTCTGTTACTATTTTACAGACTTCTGTGTTCGTTTTAGGTACAACATGATATTGATAGGTTTATTTCAGATTACTTTTGTTTGCTGAGCGTCACCACTTCACTTAAGTTGACGTTTTGTAATTTTCCTCGCATACTTGATTCCTAGTTTCATGCTGGAATTATTGGAGTTTTTGTCATATAGAAGTCCAAACTTCCTTGGTGAATAGAAAATCGTATACTTTCTTCAAAGTAATGCCATAAACCCAGGTGCGGGTGGGTATTGGGCTCCCTCTTTATCTAAATCGATGTTCATTGCTCCCACCCCGTCTCCATATAGGCCTGGTGAACCTTCGGATGACCTGGACGTTCAAGAGCCTAAGAAAGTGCACAAGGATGTCAGTCCTGAGCGGCGGCCGGTAGTAGTGGAAGAGACGACGGTGGCGCCAACAACACCTGAATCTAAGAAGGGTATGGATCTGGAGGAGCCGAAAGCGAAAACGGAAGAAACGAAACCCCTGGCACCAGAATCCCCAGCCTCCACTAAAGCCAGCCCTTCGAAGACAGGACAGGATGCTGAAAGCAATAGCGATGTGGAGGAGGCGACAAAGAAAGGTGACAAGACAGAAGAAAAACCCCCCTCTCCGACCGTCACTTTCGCCGCTCCTTCATCTGC